CAAGTATGTTAGTCTACGAAATCCATAAATTCGAAAGTTGATTTTATATACTTTGTTTGATGCTAATCTTATACAGCGAAGTACAAGTGCAATGTATTATGAGAAGATGAATGTTTCGAAAAGAAACAAGAAAAGTTTGAGAGAAAGTCTAACTACAACATGAACAGACTTGTTAGAAATCATTGGAATCTAGTGTTGGTAGTTAGTGGAAGTTCATATAAGTATGAATTTTAGGAAGAACAGCAAATTCCAAGAGAGGCTGACGCATAGAGCTACACATATGTATTTAGATCTGGTTAATATCTTGAATATTCAAGAAAAACTAGGTAACTATTACTGTACATCGAAGAATGATTTGAGAGATTTTGTATGTAAGTACATGCTTTCACCCTAATTCCTTTGATTTGAGTATTTAGGTAATACTCTTTAAAGAATAATTTACATATGTGTTATTTTCTAGATTATTGCTCTATTTAAAACGACAACACGAAATGTTTCGATTTTTTCCTAGAGATATTTACGTCTTAACAAGTAATAGGAAGAAACAGAGATTGACCGATTGTAAACCGAACTATGAAGTTATTTTGTGTTCTCTTTATTGTAATATCTTTGATATTGTCATTTTCTATATATGTCGGTAAAGAAAGCTGTTTTTTCCCCATGTGTCTATATCTAGTTAACTTAATTTTTTGGGGAACAATAAACTATAGGAAAGGAAAAAGTTACGCCACTGTTGTGACATTACTTATTGCGCAATAGTTACACTAGTGTTGTGAAATTACTTATTGCACAATAGACACACCACGTCCTTACTATATAAACTGTCGCTTTATTTCGCAGATGTTGTACAATTTATTCTAAAAATAGATTAATTATCAATATAATCCAGAACTATCAAGTGGTGCGGTCGCCGGAATATATATTTCTCATAGTGCCTGACTTTTCTCATATCGACTTTTTAAAAACGCTCGTTTTGAGACTTTTCATTTTATAATTCATTTTAACTTGTTTAATTCATTGTCAATCAGATAATGGTAGCCATTACTCGTGCTGCGTTAGCACGTCAACTGCCATCCCCAAATAAAACTAGAACAGTTGTATCAAGTGCTGTAAGGAAAAAGTATACCAAAAAGAAGAAAAGAACAGTTAAACAATGTACATCATCATCTACTACTTCGCCGCTATTGCAACCATATAACGAGGTCGCAGGCAAAAGTAATATTATTGATGCTAATGGATATGATCGGTACGGTAATCCAACAGGAAGAGAATACGATTTGGGTCGAGATGGGGCATTTATGGGATTTAATATTTTAATTGGACAGTTTTACAGCTTTGACATGGAGAAACCAATTGATGCACTAAAGATCAAAGGATTCCAAGTAAAACATGTAAAAACTGAGAATGAATGTATAACAGAACTTGCTTCAAATCGTTATCAAATTGCATGGATTATTAGTACAAATCAAATTCAAAATCCAACATTTATTTCAGCTATAATAACGTTTCATTCATCTGGTGGTGCCATCTTTTTATTTGCCGATAATACACCTTTAGTATGCCACGCATCTGAATTTCTTAAAACAAAATTTGGTATAACTATTGATGGCGATTACTATGGTAATAAAACATTGACATACAAAGAAAATGGTCATCAACAAACAGGACATTTTGGTCAACATGAAATTTTTACTGGAATCGCAAATTTATTTGAGGGTATCACCATATGTCATCCAATATATTCAACACCAGCAAGTCGTACGGTATTTGTCACTATAGCAACAGCTACCGATGGTAATTCTAGTATTGCTGTGTATGATCCACCTTCGACGTCAACAGAAGGACGATTATGCTTAGATTGTGGTTTTACGAAACTCTACTGTAACTGGGATTCAGCAGGCACAGCTCGTTACATCGTTAACGCCAGTTGTTGGCTTTTGGGAATAAAAAACGTTTAAAATCGAAGAAGAAGAATAAGAACAAGAAATAGCACGATATAACTAATTTCTTTTCATTCACAATTCCTTAATTTCTTTTATTTTTTATTTCCTTCTTTGCATAAGTATATAAATTCTTAAATTAAAATTTTCGATTTATTATTCAATAGAGTTCCGAAAAATAAATATTCTTAAAACAAAAGCGAATCGTCATATGCGTTAGTGTGAGTGAGGAATGAAAGCGAGGATGATAGACAATCAATAATAAATCGAAAAGGGTGAGAATGAGAGGTATTTAGTCTATATATAGCAAAAATTACAGTCTGATCTGTCACAAACAATTTCAGACTGTCAGAGCCCATCCGACAATGGCTGTTGAAAATTTAATCTTCAAGGCGTAGTTGACAACGATATGATTGTGATCGACTTTTTTCATTCAGGGAATAAACAAGGAATACTGCTTATGATACAACTTCTACAAATGAGTAACTCGTCGGCCGCTGACGTGAGGGCTGCCACAGACCTAACTTTTGGCACTCTTACCATGGTTCCGGAACTATTGAAACTATTTAGCAATTCAATATAGCAAACGCATATTACCACTTATAACTTTTGCTCGTTCTATAAACATAATCTTCATGAATTGCCACTCTAATAAAAGAACTTAAAAGGCTCACAGTAAACATGAAACAGTTTCCTAGCGGATCTATCTTGGTAAGAGAAACAATCTTATACTACCTAACAATCTTTATGACTTTCTTTTCTACAAGAAAAGCTCCCTAGCGGAACTATCTTGGTAAGAGGAACAATCTTCAACAATAGTTGTCTCCTATATATTTTTCACAAAAGTTCCCTAGCGGATCTTGAGGGTGTGGGTGTCAGTGTGGGTGTGCTAGTGAAGACTGTAGGACCCACTACCGCATCCACACCCACACCCAAAATATTCGTATGATATGTAGGAAGCTTATGGTTCTTGCATTACTGCCATCTTCAGTTGTATTAAAAAGTTTTGAGAACCCTTATGAAATTGTTCTTTTGGCATCTTCATCAGAACTTGGTTTATTGAAGGTTCTATTTGATTATTTTGAAAACTATTGGATTAAAAGGATGGATATTAACAAATGGAAAGGCTATGGAATTCGAATTAGAACGAATAACAATGCAGAAGGTATGCAATATTAAATGGTTCTTAACGACTTTGATGATTCATGTACACCTTTAGGCTTTCACAATCGATTGAATTTACGTATTGCAAAATATCATCCGAATATATGGACTTTTATTAGATGTATACAAGGAGAAGAAAACAGATTCAATCATGTGCTGATTCAAATGATAGATGGTCTTGCAGCTAGATCAAAACAGGTGCAACAAATGTTATACAACAACAGATTGATACTTTAGAGTTACGTTATGAAAACGATGATATCACTGTTGATGAACTCTTAAGTGAATTGTCTTATGTTGTCACGAAAAATATCACATCAAAAAGAAAAAATGATTGATTATTTTCATTTATTGTTCATTCATATCGTTAATTTGTTTACCATTTCAATGACACTCTATGCATGATCGTCTTGTTGTATTTTCGTTATTCAATAAAGTATTTTTATTATTCATCAAAATGCTCATGTTAATCATTGCTTATTCTCTTAATATTTCTCTTTCGACATTTTTCTTTCGCCATTTTTCTTTCGAGATTTTCTTTGTCGTCCTATTTCTCTTCGCTTTTTTTCTTTTCTGTCCTTTCCTTTTCTATATTTTTCCGTCGACATTTCATTGTTCGACGTTTGTCCTTTCTGCCTTTTTTCAGCATACCGAAAAAATTGAGCCTTTTTACTTTTCTGTCCTTGCTCGCTGCTTGCTGCTGTGATGTTTTAACTGTTGCCATGCAAAGTTCTTTCCACTGGAATAAATATGCTAAAAGGAAGAAAAGAAAAAAACAAGAAGCTTAGTTAATTCAAGCGGTACACAAGACGTCGTCATGCTGCACCGGCGGTAAGCAAATCATTTCGGTTAAAACGAACAGATGCTGTAGTAGCAAAAGCCGTAAGGAATAGCAACACACGATTAGAATTATCAAGAACTTTCGGGCTTCAGTGATTGAATTGTGGTTAGTAAATTTTGGATAAGGTATGAAAAGCGAAAGAATCTATTCTTTATGTTATATGCACCTTACCGAAACACGGCAAATATAGAATACAATTATGACTGATGTTAAATTGACATCCCTAAGCAACCTCAGCCAAGCTGAACGATAAATCAGTTTATTTCAGTTACTCCTGGAACCCATTCAGTATCTCAGACCGGTTTCATACTTGTTTGATTTCCTTATTCATCTTAAACCTTAGTTGTTGTCTTTATATAATATTGTTTCTGTCCCACTTTCCTCGAACTCTTTTGTTCAAGGTTAGTTACTGAACGGATTAAAAACGACAATCAATATAGTGCAACTAAAACTTTCAATAGACAACGTATGAAAATGAAACCATTATCCTTGTAAAAAGAAAAATGAGGATGTGTGAGTGTGGATCGGGTCTGAATTCGGAGAAGGCCTACAACAGCATCCATACCCACACTCACAAATCCACCCCACGCCTACTCGCACCCACATCCACACCCACCCCGCTACACACACCTACACCCACCCTCACCCACAACCTCACACCCACATGCAGCGTTTTTCTGTTGTCTCAACATTGAAAACGAAAACAAAATCAATAATATCTGTTTCTGCATAATCTCCTTTCATTCATTTGATTGTGTGACTGATTTCTCATTGAAACTATCTACAATCGTAGCTGTCGGTCACTCTCTATTGAAATCAAAAATGCATAACAACCTTGGTAATCGTTGGTCAATCTAACTCGAAAAAAGTTCAAGATTGATAGTTGGCTGAGGACCTTGAGTATTGTTCTCTTTTATTCATGATATTGGTAGCAAGACTCGACTTGATTATTTTTGCTATTGTAGATAAGGTAGTTTTTAAGACAACTAGTATGTGCGCAGCGGCTTTGAATCGTATTGAGCGACGGAAAATCGCTATGGTAATTGGAAACAAAAATTACAATCAGTCCCCATTAGATAACTCTGTTAACGATGCGAACGATTTGAGCGAAGCGCTCAAAAGTATCGGATTCTTAGTGACTACACGAACAGATCTTAATTACGAGAAGATGGAAAAAGAAATCGATCATTTTGCTAGATCTATTCGACCTGATGATCTCATCTTGTTCTTTTTCTCGGGTCATGGTGTTCAACATGAAGATCAGAATTATTTAATTCCATGTGATGATGATCAAATTCAAGCTTTAGCCGATTTGAAATACCGCGCGACCAATGCACAACGAGTTCTGGAGCTTATATTCGACAAGGATCCTTTTGTGATTGTGTTTTTGCTTGACTGTTGCCGCACTTATCTACTGCCCAATGTACCCAAATCTAAATCTTTCAGCCCATCGTCAACGGGAATCGCAGCAATGCCTGCAAAGGCTGGTATGTTGATTGCTTTTGCTTGTGCTCCTGGTACCACAGCTAACGATAAAGCACCAAACGGACGTAATGGAATGTTTACGTATCATCTATTACGACACATCACTCGACCACGAGAGGATTTACTTATGTTGCTTGTAGATGTAACTGATGGAGTTGTCAATGATACAAAAGGAAAACAGATGCCATACACAACATCTGCTTTGACAAAGCGAGGCATTTGTTTGGCAGGATTACATACAAAAGAAATGCCACTAACTGCAGACTTCGGTAGTAGCTCACAATCGACTCTTATTTCGACGCAGCAACGTGAGTATGATTGTATTCTCATTGAATAGACAATATGCAACAGAGCATAGGGAAGTGTTTTTGATGGGGTCTTATTTATAAGGGTGTGGGTGTGGGGTGTGGCTATAGATGAAAACAACAACCACACCCACACCCACACCCACCCTCTTCTATTCTGTCTTATCATTCACAAGAGGGGTCTGGTATTGTGTCCCTAAAAAAAGTCAAACTTTTTGGTGATCTCAACGAAATATCTTTATTTCAACACTTTTTTGTCCCATATACCGTTAGTAAACGACTTTATTTTACTTATCCCGCACTCATCAATGCAAAAGAAGCGAATAATATTTTAATGCATAAAAGAGAAAACAATCGTTGGTTAGAAGAGTGTTCTTGAAACAATATAGACATCATATCTTAAAATTTTTGTGCGATTTATAATAGGATTATTTTTTTTAAAGAATACGATCTATCTCTTGTGGCTAGTGTCTTGCGTGATGGCAAATTTCACGATCACGATCATGATCACGCGTGATCGTGCGTGATTGAGAACTTTTTCCGTCGTCGTACTCGTGATCGTGCGTGATTAGAAACTTTGTTTGTGCTCGTGATCGTGATCGTTCGTGATTAGAAACTTTTTTCGTGATCGTGACCAAAAATATCAGTCACGCAAAACACTACTTGTGGCACTTATGCTCTATATAACTACACTCTCGGACAGAAGTCTTTCCTCCTTTTTGTTTCTATTCTATCATACTTTGCATCAAATTTATTACCGAATAAAGATATGACATAAGAATTTTATTTCAATATGGTATAGATCACACTGAAATAAAACTCTTATGCCATATATTTATTTGATCATAAATTTTATGCAAAGTATGATAGCACAGAAACAATGGGAGAAAGACCTTTACCCGGAGGTATAAATAACTTAACGAAAGAAAATTAATCCTTTTTATATCAAAGTTATTTCAGTTAGCTGCTTATGTTGAGGATTGGCTCGTATAAATAGAATCGACTCAAGGTGAAATGTACCGCCAGTTTGGTTATTAGTTTCTAGCTAATTTGAATGGATATGGTTGTCCACGAAGAAACCATTTGCAGAAAAAGAGCAATCGAATACATATAGAGAGTGATTTTAGAATGTTTTGCTTCTGCTTCGAAAAGCACCTGGACATCTTCATGTGAAAAGAGATACGTCCTCAGACATATGAGAGGAATTTCATAAGAAACGCCTCACTGTATGTCACGAGAGATATATTTTTTCCAATTATGAATGAGATCTTGCATGATAAGAACGTGTCAAAGTTTCTAGAAGAAAATGCACAGACGAAGCGAAGTATTAACTAATGGACAACGAGTTTTCACCGAAGATGTTCTTATTTCAGAAAGATCTCTTCATGTGTGACATGTTTGGAAGCGTACCACGTTAATTAGGTCCTGTGATCGTTGAAATGAATACTTTCGCAAAGAAAATCTAACTATTTTCTTCACAGCATGGTGCAAAGGAGCATTAAAGTGATCTCAGAACACGTTTTTTTATACAGAAAACATTTTTTTTTACCAAGTATTCTTTTCTATTAGCTTTTTCTCATGAACTGTCCAACTCAGAGCTGACATACTGCTGAGACGATGGAAGCAAAATATTGTCCATACTAAAAAAAGCATAAACATAAACATATACATATACATAAATGATAAAAAAATTAAAAAGCTTTAGAAATTATTAACAAAGTCAATTTTCAGGGGGTCTTCTAAAGTGTCTTTTGCTGCGCTTGCCCAAGGGGGGTCTTCTAATATGTCGAGGGCTTTAGTCTTCAGACAGCGGTACTTTTTTTTAAATTGTATACTGAATTTGTCTATCATGCACTTTATTATAAGAATTATTCTACATTGTTTTTCATTACATGACGTTGACACACATTTCATTAAATATAAATAATGTAAATAAAACTGCACTTATTTCATCATTGTAAAAGAGACACTTTCAATTCATATGTTACCAAAAACTGGAAATCGTAAGGTACCATAACTTGTAGCATACAAAATCTATAGGGTAAGGCAAGGCAAGGGTGCAATGCTTATAGGATAGGGTAGGGCTCGGGTATGAAAATCACTGTACGGTAGGGTATAAAGTACGAAAAACTCTTATCCCGCAGTATTCTGACACATGCATACTCAAAATAACGCGTTGTTTGTTAGTTTTTCTCTGCGTGTAAATCTATTTATTCATTTTTATATCTATGAATTCAGTTCTAGCTAGCACTATTTGCATCTTAGTTAATTGTTTTTACAGTATGAAAGTAATTCCCTTATCACTACCAAAACGACAATTATATTACAACATAATATACAACTATGATGTGCAAAAAATATTCTATGGGAGCCTTGAGAAATGGAAACAGTTAACATACAACTGAGAATGTATAAAAACGTTCTATTAATGCACTCTTTTTAAAGATGAAAGGTGTCGAATGTACAAGTATGAAAGGTTGAGGATGATAAATCATATGGAAAATTAAGAGAAGTAAATTAAAAGCATCGTTCCGCAGCAGAAGTCAAGTTTCATATTTTTATGAAATGAAACTTTAAATAAATATTACTAATACTAACATTTGTGCATATGCAGCTGATCTCTTTTTTTCACTTTGAATATCCTTAACTTACCTCGATGTTACGATCACAATCGTATATGCACTATGTGTCTATCCATCACACCTATTTACATGTATCAAACGTAACTTTTAAATATACTACTATTCTTGATTTTTTCTTGATATTTCTATAATTTTTAATCAACAGGTAAAACATGTAACGGTGAACCTTGGCTTATCCTGACGATAGTAGCGTCACTGGAGCACCCTTCTTCATTAATCTCTGATTTTCGCTCACCTAATGGTTATTGAAATCGACGGATAAAAGTGAATTTTTCATATTTTTATTTCACATAATTCTTAGAAGTTATATAGGAAAATAAATTTCTGATTTCTGCTTCACTGACGTTTTTCTAAAATTGATGGATAGAAGTGAATATCTCATGTCTTTATTGCTGATAATTCTTAGAAATTATACAAAAAAGTAAATTTTTGCATACTGTATCAGAAATCAGAGATTTTTTGAAAATTGGTTATAATTTGAGATTTGCCACGCTCTCCTCCAGTGAAATTTCCCGGTTTTATTTATCGAAATCTACCGTCGCTGTTCGGTACGATCTTCTGGACAACTTTCAGTAAGAACACCCTGTTTTTTTTAAATTTCTGATGGTTTTTTTATCATCCCGAACTTCCGAAAATCTAATTCCAAACACTCTGTATTTTTTCTTATGTCAGGTGATTGTAGCAAACATATTTCACTGGAGATCGTAATGAAAAGTTGGTGCGAAATGTCCCTTTTCCAAATTGAATATAAAAGAAAATTGCATTCACAATTTGATAGTTTTTACCAGTTCATATTTTTGTAGATGTCTCTTCTGATAAAGTCTTTATCAATCCTTTTTGAAGGTACCAGTTTAATTGGAAATATCACATGAGTTGTCGGCAAAATTGAGAGTAGTTCAGTACTGTTCAAAACAAATAAAGGACTCATTTCAATGAAATCAATGTTTATTTCTACTTCATACTTTTGTTTCATTTCAGTACCACTACGTGCAAGTTTCATCGATATTCATCCGAATGCAAAATGGTCAAAAAATGGTATCACTGTTGCTGGAGCGAATGAAGGAGGCAATGGAATCAATCAACTCTGGTACCCATGGGGTTTGTACGTTGATGATGATCAAACAATTTATGTCGCTGATTGGGGAAATCATCGTATTGTGAAATGGAAACCTGGTGCACCAAATGGAAAAATGGTTGCTGGTGACAACGGAGAAGGAAATCATGCTAATCAACTAAGCTACCCACGAGATGTGATTGTCGACAAACAGAGCAATAGCTTCATCGTCAGTGATGACGGGAATCACAGAGTAGTTCGTTGGCCTTGTCGAAATGGTACTCGTGGAGAAACAATTATTTCCAATATCAGTTGCATCGGTTTGACAGTGGACGGGAATGGATCTCTCTATGCCGTTGACATTGAAAAAGATGCAGTGAGACGATATAAAATTGGTGACACTCAAGGAACAATGGTTGCAGGTGGCAATGGAGATGGAGATCATCTCGATCAACTCTCTAACCCCCGCTACATATTTGTCGATCGTGATCATGCAGTATATGTGTCTGATGGTTGGAACCATCGTGTAATGAGATGGGAAGAAGGTGCAAAACAAGGCACTATTGTAGCCGGTAGTCAAGGAAAAGGAAATAGTCTTACACAATTGAATGAACCTGAAGGAGTCGTTGTCGATCAATTGGGTACTGTCTATGTGGCTGATTCTTTGAATCATCGAATCATGCGTTGGCCAAAAGGAGCCACGCAGGGAAGTATCATTGTTGGTGGAAACGGTGAAGGAACACAATCGAATCAACTCAATTGCCCCTCATGTTTATCATTCGATCGACATGGCAATCTTTATGTCGTCGATAATGAAAATCATCGGGTACAAAAATTTGATATGGCATGAACTGAATACGATGATTAATTTTGTTTCGTTCTCTTTCTCTTTCAAATAAATCACGATTGAATGAAAAAGAATTGAAAGGTATTCTATTCTTGCACGCGACCAGGAATCATCCTGGTGGCACCGTGGTGAGTCTATGTTTATGCACGCATGGCATAGACTCATATCATTCACACGCTCCCCGCGGAAGGCCATGTGTCAATGACTCTGGGAGCTCAGTCGGGGTGTGGGTGTAGGTTTGGGTTGGGTGTGGAGTGTGGGTGTGGGTGTGGATGCTTGTCTTTTCTTCGCCTAAACCTCACAATCACACATCCACACCCACCCACCCACTCTCAAACTTTACACACTTAATTATAAATAAAATGGAAATAAACTAGAAGATGAAAGTTTATTAAAAGCAATAGAATACCAGGGTGTGGGTGTAGGTATGTGGGTGTGGGCGTGGGTGGGTGTGGGTGAACATAGTGGAATATAAGTTCTATACCCACACCCAAATACACGAACATCCCCTCTTGATTATCTATTGAAATAGATAAAACAAATCCAATGGAATATATTTGTTATGAATCATAAATTGGGGCTTAATTATAAAAAAATATGTTTCATTATAAAATATCGTTAAAAAAATTTTGTTTAAAATTTTTGATGAATTCGATGAAATTCAGAAAAATGAATGAGAACGATTTTAATCTACTTAAGCAGTTCTGAAAAATTTCATAAATATTTAAATAAACATAACAAAAACTAGATCATTTTTATCTTTGATTAAAGATTATAATCAACTTGAAATTTTACATATTTGAAAAAATAAAGAAGAAAACAAAAATCTTCTGATGTTAATCGGTTCAAACAAATAATTTTATTTTTAATTGAACAAGTAGAAATTTTTCATTTTTTCAAACATATGAATTTTTAGAGAAAACAATAATCAGTTAACTATTTAATTAAACTTATTGATTTCAAATTATAATTTTAGTAAAAAAATTTTATTCGATTTTGAATATAAATCATTTTTCCAGTTAAAAATCATGTTCATCCTAATTGTATCATTATTTTTGATTTTGTTAGCAAATTCTTTAAATCTTTGCTTTGTTTTTTTTTATGAGCTTTACTCTCATAACTCAAGAATAGTGGCATAAAATCTTCTTTAGCATGAAAATTATTTTTGTTTTTTTGAAAAATTTTGGAAATACAGCGCGCCTCAATTGATTTTCCCCTCTTGATATCTTTTTGTTTTTATTGCTATACCTCTTTTATTTATTAACCTATTATATATAGGAAGAAAGCCCGGAACGCGCTGCATCTTTTGGTATATTTACATTAAACATCAAATACAATTTAAAGTGCAAGAGATGTATTAGGAAAAAAAGTGATATTTTTTTCACTACAATACCTGGTGTCCAAAATGTTGTAACAGTTTTTATTTCGCGTATATCTCGGCTTTGGTAAATGATAATACTTTGAATTTTTTCCAGAAGATGCGCCGTGAAAAGCTCTACGATAGCTGTGCGATCGAATTCCTTTTTACCTGTTCTGATGGTTTTTCTTATACTCAAAATGAACAACTTACACGGCAGTATCACTTCCCATCATATAGAAAATATTCTGAGGACTTTTCTGATTCGCTATAGGATTTGGTCTATACGTGCTTTATAGAGCTTTCAACGGCACATCTTTCAAAAACAAATTCAATATTTCATCATTTTCTCAAGTCAAGATATATACAAAATAAAAAGTCTTCCAAACATTTTCAATATGATGGATAGTGGCACTGTCATATGAGTTTTTCATTTTGAATATAAGAAAAATCATCAGAACATGCAAAAAGGAATTTGATCATACAGCTTTTGTAGAGCTTTTCACGGCGCATCTTCTGGAAAAAAAATTCAAAATATTTTCATTGACCAAAGCCGAGATATACGCGAAATAAAAAAATGTTACCATATTGTGGATGGCTACCTCTCATTTGCGAACATAAAGAAAATAAATTTTAAGTAAATTAAAATTTTTAAAATTTTGTTGGATTCAAATTTGATAATTTTATCAACTTTTTGTAAAACGATTAAAATTCATATTTAACTTTTAAAAATTCGATTACTGCGAACGAATATTGAAAATAAATTGTTTTAAAAGATTTTTATAAAATTTCTTTTTTACCAAGCATGCTGCAATTTGTAGAGGTCGTTAGTTTTTTGATAATAAAAACTTTTCAAGACTTCGATAGTTACTGCAATTTGTAGAGGACGCAAGTTTCTGATGACAGAGAGTTTTTGATATTTACTGCAATTTGTAGAGGACATAAGTTTTTGATCAAAGAATTTTTTTTAATTTAGTACTCTGTCTGGAATTTGTACAGGACGTTAGATTTTAGTTGAACTAAAATTTTCCTTTGAATCTAGTTCCGAAGAATTTTAATGGAAGTCAATAATAGAATGTACTAGTTAGTTTTTTTCTTTTGTTATGGATAAACTAATACTCATAGTGTACGAGCAAGGGTCGTCGATTTGGGCTGAACTAAGGACGTTTTCAGTTCAAGACAAAGCGAGTTTTTAAGAAGATTGTATCATAACTTGTTGTGATAATTTGACATTTGTTCTGACTGTGGTGTGGACGAATCGAACTGTGTTCGTCAAGAGAAGACGCTCATTAACATCTATATTTCTGAGCCGTCTTTTTTAGAACATCATTTTTTGTATTTATGATTTTTGTCTATAAATGCTTTTGCATCCCAATCAGTGATCTCCATTTAATGTTCGATTCTATTTTACTATCATAATTATATAGTCTGTTCAAAATCAAAAACAGCTGATGACATTAATAGTAACAATTATGTCTGACGAACTCAATAAATTGCAGTCAATTAAGAATAAAAAAAGCACTACTATATTTTAGCGCACTCTACAAATTACAGCTCATTAAATTGAAATAATGAAACTCCATCTTTAGCGAACTCTATAAATTTCAACAAGTTTAAAAATACAATTGAAATTTTAATTTGTTTTAAAATTGTTATCAGTAAATTTTTTTGAAATTTGAAAACCGAAAATTTAAGACCTAAGATTATTTTAAATTTGAATAAATTAAATTTAAAAAAAACTGAAATTTAATTTAAGAGATTTTTAATTTCGATTTTATGTTGGCAAATGAGAGGACACGCTTCAACGTATCCTCAGCCATATTCAACAATTGACCGATATCTGACAATAGGCAATGAAAAACAAAATTCTCTATCAGTGATTAGGTCAAAATTGTCAAGATTGTTTTCTAAAATGCTCAATTAAGATATCTTCCTTACACAGTTAGTAGCAAACGCGAAATATCTCTGATGAAAAGATGAATCCAGGAAATAGAAGAAATTCGAATAAAACAAGCAATCATTTTTCAAATACAAACCACAAAGCAAAGAAATTTAGTATAATATTCGCTTACATCCCGAATAAATCATTAGTGAACATTTCTTTTTTGACATTCACAATAAGGCACCAATCTTTTATTTGTAGAAATATCTTTCTCCCAATCAAATGACTCAATGTTATTATTATCATAAAAAGGAAGAAAAGTTAGAGTTACATTATTTTTCAAAAAAACCAATGCGAAAGGTGAGCACGGTTTTGATCTCTGCATCTATATTCATATTTCTTTTTCAGTTTGTTCCTTTTCTTAGAGATCGCAATTTGTGTATCGAAAAAATATTAATTTTTCTGTTAGATAGTTCCAATACATGGGAACCAATTCCAAAGAAAAATAAAGCTTGTTAGCGCAGCTCCTGCGGAGCAGAAATGTGGAACTCACGTATACCTTTAGCTTTGTTAGCTGACGCATCATCTGTATACTGAAAGACTTCTCGTCAACTATAGTTGTTTTCCTTGAGAATCGATGAAAAGAGCAGGAATTTATTATTTATTTGTATATTAAAAATATATATTAAAAAAGAAAATATTGTTTTTTCATTTAAGCGCGCTCGATTTCATTTATAATTATTGTTATATACTCGATAATAAACCTTTTTTTTTGTTTTCTAATTTGAAGTTATTTTTCTCCACCATCAACTATTTGATGAGTACGGTTGTTGCAGTCTATAATGGTGTGGGGGGGGGGGGCATCTGTATGTAATGCTCTTTTTTTGTTGCTATGGTCTGTAAGGGGGGGGGGGATCTGTATGTAATATTCTTTTTTGGTTGCTATGGTCTGTAAGGGGGGGGGGGGGGGGGTATGTAATGTTCTCTTTCGTTGCTATGGTCTGTAAGGGAGCCTGTCTGTAAGGGGAGGGGGAGGAGCCGCAAAACCTCGAACTTAAAACTTACACTCACTATTTTCTTCGAAAATATACGTGAGTTCCACAAAAAGTAAGTTATGAGTATCAACTCTTTTGCGGTGTCATGTTCAAAGGAATAAAACCAAAAAATGTAACAAATAAGTTTTAACATTACATTGTTGAGAAGAATAATGTCGCGAGGATACAATTGATCTTTTTTTTGTAAACTTCTGTATGAGTCGAAGTATTTACTCAACTTTTGCTTTCTATATATGCTCGTCCAAAACGATGATAATTTATCGACATTTTTATCAAATGACGTGCAGTTCTATGATTCACGATAATTGCCAAACCGAATCGCAACAGTTTTTATGTCAAAATTTTGGTGACTTGACAGGAGTAGACGTGAGCATCTTGTTCATAGTTATGAAACTTCAAAAAATAAGAGAAATTACAAGTTTATATTCGTAAACAAGAATGCTCTTCTCAATTCCGAAGGGTTTTTCTGATCAAATATTCATAGAACACTATGAATACTTTTTTAGTTTCTAACATTTGAATTAATTATTTGATTAAATTTTTGGCATCTACTAGTCTCAATTGACATTAGTTCCATGGGAGATTGCGTTTCTACTTCTAATAACCGACCAAGTTTTGAAAAAGCTATAGAGATTTGATCTATGAAGCAGTTATCATGTTTTTTTATGCCGAAAATTGTAGCAGATGATTCATTTTTATTGTGTAAAAC